GCGGGAGCTGAAATGGCAAACCGACTGGGGATAGCATGCAACCTGGAGGAACATGGTAAAGGCAGATCTGCTTTCAGAAAGGAATTTCTTCTACGATGCAGGAAAAGGTGCCTCACGGCAAGGGTTGTAAACCTGCGAATACTGCGACCATCACAAACGCACAGAGACCTACACACAAACCTTTCTTAATTTACCTTGTGACTAAAATTTATGACGTCCTGCGATGACACAACGTTTGCACTTGGTCGTGTATTAGCATACTCCTGTCGTGCTGAACAGATTACGCTTATCGATGAATAACATGGAATAAATTGTTTTCACGTTTTACTCCGGCAATAGAGCTTCACTTCAGATGAGCAACGATACCTCTCAGAACACTTCTGAACGCTGTTTTATGAGAATACGATAACTGACATTCACTCCTTGGCTGCGTAAACGAACGTGTGGTTCATGGCCTCTGATGCAGTGACAGCAGCCGATTCAGCCAGGAACTCGTCAACTATGAAACCATCCTCTCCGTTCAGCACATACTCCGACTCCAGGTTCTTCTGACGACCATCGATGTAGCTTAATGGTAACGAAGTCGAAAAATCCTCATCCAGCAGTTCAGCCTGTTTAAAGTCTATTTCGTCCATCCAAGCCGAATCAGTAGGTTCAAAAATAGCTGCACTCGACAGATTGTCATCCAACGCATAATCTTCATAGAAGGAATTTTCGGTCCCTTCCAGACTTTCAGCATCCATATGCCCCACTAAAGTTCTAGCCTGGTTGTGACCTAAAAAAAGCAAATGTGAAACAATTAATTAAATCATGTAAGAGTGGCGCAGTGGGTAGTCATTCTGAATTGCAGTTTACAGGCGAATTTCAGCGCTGTGGAATTCTTGCGATCTGAACTGCTAATTCGCTTGAGCAAAAAATTTTCTGCTATGTGCTAGCCGATCCAGCCAGCCGAGAGACGGGTTACAGGTCACTGACCTGCGAACAACAAGGTCAGAACGATGTTCTGGTGTGGTCATGTCATAGAAAACAAGATTTACGGCGACGCTCTCTACAGTGTGCTCTCAATGGTTGCAGTCGCCTCGGTCCATTTGGTGACTGACTGTAAATGGTAAAAAACGATCAACATAAGCAAAAAATAAAATAACGAAAATTTTCTTCTTAGATCAGAAGGTAGATTTTGAATTTCGATCGAATCAAAAAGTATAACTGCATTAGTATGCAATTGATGATACATTAAATTGTTGCAATATCTTAATTTCATGAAAGATAACGATCTTGCACTTAAAATATTTAGCTGCAAACGAAGAAGCGGTACGGCAACGTTTTGACAACAAATACTGAGGAGCACATAAAGGTTTTACAGCCAATTCTTAAAAACGAGTTTACGTGCTCTATTGGGTACAGGGCACGGACAAAAGGGGACCAGCTGAAACAAAATTTTACATTTAAATGATCTGAAACAGGGGAGAAGCAATAAAACCAGATATCAGAAAAACGATTACAAACAGTAAGAAAGAAAGGAAGAGTTTGCATTTTAATGATCGGTTTCGGTGAACAATACATATAAGATATTTGTAGTGATTTGGAAGCTACCTATGCTTTGTGACAGGTTCTGGACCTATGGTTCAAAAAACGTTCGTACGCACCAGGATGCAAACTTAGTACATATGTTCCACGGCAAAGAAAACTGACAGTACGTAACCTCTGAAAAAATATATTCAATCTTGAATAACAGATCAATTCGTTGAATCTTTTCACAACCCATGATTCAACCGACTGGCAGTGGTGATGACCAGTGTCTATTCGTATTGTTCATTGCACTTTTTTGCTGCTGCTTCGAGATG